AGCTGCAAAGCAGAGATTCACACTGGAAAATTTTGTTCGAGTTTCAGAGTCGCTCAAGACAAGTTCTTGTGGAGAGAGATTAAAGGACATTATCCTAGAGAAGGGTATAACTAAAACTGCAATGACACATTTGAAAGATAATTTTGCTAATACAGGGCAGGCTGGCTTTAAGAACAGTGCTGAATGGGCACAGGGTTTAACACTTCCATCTGTCCCTCTTATATTGTCTTTGCTGAGAGGTTTATCAATGGGGCATATGCTCACTCAAAAGTGTATTGATGAAGAAGGTATCTTGCCGTTGTTGCATGCATTGGAAGGAGTTACAGTAGAAAATGAAATTGGGGCAAGGGCCGAAAATTTGTTGGACACTCTATCTAACAAGGAGGGAAAAGGAGATGGATTCTTGGAGGAGAAGGTGTCTAAGCTGAGACATGCAACTAAGGATGAAATGAGGCGTCGGGCTTTGCAGAAGAGAGAGGAATTGCTTCAGGTATTTTATATAAAACCTTTATTTACTCATTTGAGTACTTGGACGATATAGTGTTTGAAATGGTAAAGCTAAGTTAGCTGTTGGGATGTTTACTTGGTTAAGCATTTTCTTTGATTGGAAAGAGTACATTGGGATTGTTTTCTCTCATTTTATTTCAATTTTCAAACAATGTTTGATACTAGTTGCCTGTCAATGAAAATGCTGATTTTAGTTTAGTGAACTTTTCTGTTGTTTTCAGTATATTTCTTGTTTACCTCTTTCTTTCACCAGATTGAATTCATATGGCATGATATTTATATTCTTCTTTAAACTTGATTAGAATCTGATTTCCTGTTCCCTCTTGAATTATCCTTGTCTGATGTAGGGCCTGGGATTCCGTCGGGAACTGTCTTCAGATGGAGGTGAACGGATTGTTGTTGCCCGGCCTGTCCTTGAAGGTTTTGAAGATGTTCAGGAGGAGGAGGATGGGCTGGCATGCATGGTATGCCGGGAAGGATACAGTTTAAGACCTGCTGATTTACTGGGTGTTTACTCTTATAGTAAGCGGGTGAATCTAGGTGTTGGTTCTTCAGGAAGTGCTCGTGGAGGAGAGTTTGTGTACACCACTGTAAGTTACTTCAATATTATTCATTTTCAGTGCCATCAAGAGGCCAAGAGAGCTGATGCTGCTTTGAGAAATCCAAAGAAAGAGTGGGATGGGGCAACACTTAGAAACAACGAGTCTCTCTGTAATTCCTTATTCCCAGTCAGAGGTCCATCTGTACCTCAGGCACAGTATAGTCGCCATGTTGACCAGTATTGGGACAACCTGAATGCTCTTGGACGTGCTGATGGAAATAGACTCCGCCTGCTGACTTATGACATTGTTCTGGTATGTTACTCAGCTGCAATATGTTTGCTTTTCATGGGGAATCTGACAGACAAGATGGTGGTCATGATGATAATAATAATGAATAATGAAAAGTTAAAAACACAATAAATCAGGGATTTTATTTACAGGATATACACGGTCTCATTAGATAGCACGAGTTCCTGGTTTCAAATTAGGTGTACTACATTTATCTTTGCACTTGCTTGATTCAAGTGATTTTTGTCTTGCTGGTGTTCATGCAATTTTTTCCCATTTTTGTAGATGTTAGCTCGGTTTGCAACGGGAGCATCATTCAGTGCAGATAGCCGAGGGGGTGGACGAGAAAGTAATTCCCGGTTCCTGCCATTTATGATCCAAATGGCACGCCATCTACTTGATCAAGGAAGCCCCTCCCAGCGTAGAAATATGGCCAGGGCAGTATCAGCATACATATCTTCTTCGGCATCTGATGTCAGACCCTCTTCTCCGTCTGGCACTCAACCTACATTGGGGACAGAAGAGACTGTCCAATTTATGATGGTTAACTCATTTCTCGCAGAGTCTTATGAGTCCTGGCTGCAGCATCGCCGTGCTTTTCTGCAGCGTGGAATTTACCATGCATACATGCAGCACACACATTCTCGATCTGCCGATCGTGCACCATCTGTTACTGCTTCTGCACAAGGTGTAGAATCTGGAAGCGTGGGCCAAAGTGCTACCACAGAAACAGGGCAGAATGATGATCTTTTGTCTATTATTCGTCCAATGCTTGTGTATACAGGCTTGATTGAGCAGTTACAATATTTCTTCAAGGTCAAGAAATCAACAAGTGCAACACCTGCAAGGACAGAAGGTGCTTCATCTACAACGGAAGGGGAAGATGAAAGTGGAAACCTGGAATGCTGGGAAGTAGTGATGAAAGAGCGACTCTTGAATGTAAAGGAGCTGCTCGGATTCCCCAACGAGATGCTGTCATGGCTTGATGACATTAATTCTGCCACGGACCTGCAGGAGGCCTTTGACATAGTTGGTGTTCTTGCTGAAGTATTGTCTGGCGGGTTCACCCGGTGTGAAGATTTTGTGCAGGCTGCAATTAATGCGGGGAAAAGCTGAAGATTTTGTGTTTCTCTTCTGTAATAGTGAAAATATTAACAGCATAACAACTATGCATGAGGGAATGTAAAACGCTTGGCTACTATGTTCTTTTGAACGTACGAAGCTGATGAAAATGAAGGGCGGATATTGTGATGATGTGGAAAAAAAATATTGTTATTCAATGCTTCATCCAATAAATCCCAATTAAATTAAACTTGCCTATACGGCTAAGCATTATAGAGGATAAAAAACTCCAAGAACAGTTAATTTCTGGCAACATAATGGAGTCTCCCCCTAAATTGATGATTACATATGAGCTTTAGAAATGACACGTCGTAGGTTTTTAAGGATTTAACACCTGAAGGCAAGATACAGTTCGTCTGTTATGATTCTAAATGCCAAAGATATTTTGTTAACATAAACTAGAGTCTCTATTAAGCGTCGATCTCTCGCCCTCCATGACTTAAAAGGCATTTGGGTAGGGCGTAATATGGTGAAACGTGTACATCGCTAATCAGTTTTATGAAAAAGAAATCTTACTCAAATAACTTTTAAAACAATTGTAATTCATTTTCACGATCTAAAAGTTGTTCAAAATATGGCATTTGTCATCTATCTTCTCATTATAAAAATAAAAAATAAAAAAGACTGCAAGAAATTTTATTATATTTTAATAATTAAATATAATTTTTTAATTCTTCAAATTAAAAAATGCATTTAAGAGTTTGATTGTCTTGAATTTATTATACATATATATATATATACATACATATATATATATATAGGACTAGATATATTAAAATGGCTAGGTCAATTCTTTTTGATAGATATTAACAAAGGTAGAGGACCAATTGAATACTAAAATATTTATAACAAGATTCAGATCCCAAAGTGGATCCAATTGAATTGTATTATTAAAAGACAATTGAATATTATACAGTATATAACAGCAGCATAAAATCAAAAGTAAAAAGTGTTACACTCTCTTAAAATAAGTATTGTCACATGCTGTTTTATACGGACAAAGGCTACTTTACCATCACGGGAATTTGTCACGTATGCCACACAACTTGCAAATCAACGTCTCTCTCCCTCTCAATACACTTGGCTACTTTGCTTTCTAAATGAACTGCATGTGAGTCTCACCCTTCACCCACTCACATTACCTTTCATATTCAACCAACCAGCTCCTCCACTTTCTTTCCATTATTTCATATTTTACATTCTTCTTCTTAACCAAAACGATAACCACTCCATAGATAATGTATGAATCCTACACTGGAATATCCTTAACTTTTGTTTGGTTCCATTGTGAATATCTTTCATTTTAGTATATAACAATGGGTTGGTATTGTTTTCTCATCATCACTCTGCATTTATCGTTGGTGAATACATAATGACAAGGAGGTGGTCCTCTGTTAAATAATGTATTACATTGTAGACAGATTCCAATGGAAGGAAATCATTATCAGTAACTCACGTGGCAGTTAGACTTAAAAATAAGGGCCTTGGAAAACCTTTTTTTTTAATTTTAATTAAAAAATGTTACAATTTTCTTACTTTATATTCTACTTTTAAAAGTTTACTCAAGAATCAGTAAAAATAACTTTTTCTTATTGTTTGATGCTTCTCAGATTTAATATTTCATATATAACTTTTAAAATATATAAAAGATAATGTTTTCTATAAGTAGTAGGTGGCTTCTGAAGAGATTCATAATATTTTTCTCTGGTGTTAGCTTTTTCTCTTAAATCAGATGGTTTTGGTAAGTCCCAAATAGTTAGCATAGAGTTATTGTCAAATGCTAAAAATATTGTGAAATACTACATATTGTTCACGATTTTTCCGAGATTAAAATTTTATATTACAAAAAATTAAATATTAATATATGTGACTTGATTCTATGTCCTATCTATTTTTTGTTCAATGATTTTCACCAGAAGGAATGAATGATTATCAAAAAGAATTGTTGAACTTTTTTTTTTTCCAAATAAAGACGAAAGATAAAATAAAAATTGACAGAAACTAGCATTTGTTGCATGTCATAATGCCACGTCATCTCGCTCCGTGATTAACATTTGAATTTATAATTGTGAGTCCGAACAGTTTTTATTGTGTTTTTTTTTTTTTTCTGGTTTCTGTTATTTGTTTGGTTTTCAACGGTAATCTCAGTCGCAGAAACCCATCAAGATTAGACTCAGTTGAGGGAATTCCAATAGGAACCCAATTACTGTATACTTGGTTTTCTTCATCCTTTGAACCTTCAAGCTCATACAGTCATATGAAAGCCACACTACCATCGTCGTAGTTGCTTAAGTTTTGGAATTTCAAGGTGTTGGTGATGTGAGTCAGTGCAGGGGTGACATTGTCTGGTGGGTGGGAGGACAACATTTTTTTGGCCTTAGAATAACCACAGCCTTGGATTTATTAACATTTATTTTAGGTTTGAAGACCTAAAGATGAAGTGGCATTGTCCAGCTTAGTCTTGGTTTCTGGGCATTTATTAAGTATCACATAGTTCAAGGAGTTTTATAAGAATTTGAAGAGTGAAGTTGAAGTAAGATTATGATACCAAAATCAATGGTGTTGAGATGGCCGAAAGAAAAAGACTACTGTGAAAGTGAGGGGATAAAGATGGAGCTCAAAGTTTTGGCGACAGACAGAATTGAGAAGCATGAGAGTTTGATTATAAGGCCTAGAATCAAGGTGTGGATGGCTAGGGCCATTACCATTGTGGTACTTTGGACTAGTCTTGTTCATCTGGTTGCACTAGGGGAATTGTTGGGGCCAAGTTTGTTGAAGGGCATGCCTTATTGTTTCAGCACCCCAGCTGTGGAAAACGATTTGGCTCCAGCCAAGGTTGTGCTCCCACCCAAAAGTGAGTCCTAGGCCCCGTCTTATGGATAAATTATCTGTAGTATTCTCTTGAGTTTATGAATTTAGAAAAACAAAACATTGTCATATGAATGATGATTCGGATAGCTGTCTGATTTGATGCTGGTTGTATTTTCTTCAGCAGTCTTTCTCATTTCATTTTTCTGCTATTTTCCCCCCACACCCACCTATAATTTCCTTCTTATATGAGAACATTTTATGATTTCTCATGCATGTCTCTTCTTTGATAATTTTTGTCATCAGGAACTTATAGGAATAATGGTTATCTTCTGGTTTCATGCAATGGAGGACTCAACCAAATGAGAGCAGCAGTAAGTTCTTTGTTTGGGTATCTTCACTGCTATCAGTATGACTATTTCCATTAAAAGTCTGATTCATTTCTTTTGAAGTCTTTCACTCCTCGCATTGTTTTTCCTGCAGATATGTGACATGGTTGCCATTGCCAGACACTTAAATGTCACCCTCATAGTTCCAGAGCTGGACAAGGCCTCTTTCTGGGCTGATTCAAGGTTTGCAGATCATTCTTTCTGTCATAATTTCCAATTTAGGAAGCGCCTACTTTTTGGACTATTATGATTGAAATGTCTTCGTTTATGTGACATTCTGTCTCCTTTATGTGGCAGTGACTTCAAAGATATATTTGATCTAGATCATTTCATTACCTCCTTGAGAGATGAGGTTCGGATACTAAAGCACCTACCACCTAGGGTCAAGATAAGAGTTGAACAAGGACTATCCTACTCAATGCCACCCATTAGCTGGTCTAATATCTCATACTATGAAAACCAGGTGTCTGCTTGGTTCACATTATCTCTGCAGTTATCACATTATTGTAAGTTAGCAGCTAATTGTCCTTAACTACTTAAATAGGTCCTTCCTCTGCTGCTGAAACACAAGATCATACACCTAAATAGAACAGATGCAAGACTTGCCAACAATGGACTACCTGCTGAGATTCAAAAGCTACGGTGCCGAGTAAACTTCAATGCTCTGAGGTTTACTTCTCAGATAGAAGAACTTGGCAGAAGGATAGTCAAGGTTTTGAGGGAAAAGGGACCTTTCGTTGCACTTCATCTTAGATATGAGATGGACATGTTGGCGTTCTCTGGTTGTGCTCATGGTTGTGACAGCAAAGAGGAGGAGGAACTAACAAGAATGAGGTAATCTGGATCATACATTAATGTGTAGAAACATCCATTTTGTTTCTACAGTTTTCCTTGAATGTAATTTTGTAATTGGTATTTCTTAGATATGCATATCCTGGATGGAAAGAGAAAGTTATTAATTCTGAGCTTAAGAGGAAAGATGGTTTATGCCCTTTAACACCTGAGGAAACATCACTAGTATTGACAGCACTTGGAATAGATCACAATGTTCAAATTTACATTGCAGCGGGAGAAATATATGGCGGAGAGAAAAGGATGGAAAGTTTACTAGGAGATTTTCCTAATCTGGTGAGTAGAGAGAAGCAAATAATATATGCTGTATTTGCAAATTTCGGCACTAACATTTTCTCTAACTCTGAAATAGGTAAGGAAAGAAACTTTGCTGGAACCATCAGAATTGATGTATTTCCGAAATCACTCCTCTCAAATGGCTGCTGTGGATTATCTTGTTTCCCTAGAAAGTGATATATTTATTCCAACATATGATGGGAACATGGCTAAAGTTGTGGAAGGCCATCGCAGGTATTGTTTTGAATTCTGTTATCTACTTAGTGATATGATCCTTTTATGAGGTGAAGAATTGTTTTGATTTCATTCATTATTTTATTAGATGTACAATGATGGACTGCACTTTTGTCAACCTGTTACTATTATTAGATGATAAAACCGATTTAAGGGTCATTGTACGCAAGTAAATAATGAACCTCTTCTTCAAAACTCTAGTAACTTCACAAATTACATTATTAATCAATAACACATTGTTGTTGATATGACTTTTAAGATAGTTATTGTTAAATCAACAAACTTGCCAGCTATGATAATTTCTGATTAATTGACATTGGTATGACTTTTGAGATGATTAATGTTAAAGTCAATAAACTTACCATTCATGACAATTTGTTATTGATTCACATTGTAAACACTGTTAATCTGTGTATCCTATTTACTCTTTTTTATTTAATTTATATGATATCATGTGTAACAATGATCTAAATTATTCTGGCTAATTATCTGGAGTCATACTTACTTCTCTTCAGATTTCTAGGATTCAAAAAAACTGTATTACTGGATAGAAGGCTTCTGGTAGACCTAATAGACCAATACTACAATGGGTTTTTGAGTTGGGATGATTTTTCCACTGCTGTGAAAGAAGTTCATGCCAATCGTATGGGAAGTCCTAAAAGAAGACTTATCATTCCTGACAAGCCCAAAGAAGAAGACTACTTTTATGCCAACCCTCAGGAATGTTTGCAATTGCTAGATGAACCACTGAAAAGCACATAATCTTTGCTCTGATTTAATCACAGGTCTCAATCAGAAGGCAAAGTTATTTGTTATTAATTATTCTGTACATGAAATAGGCTCTGAATGAACTGAAGGGACTGTGACCCTGCGAAATAACAAGAATTTCTTGTGCTTAGGGTTCTTGTATAAAGAAATGGCAAAGTGGTGCCACATCCTTCTCAATGCAAAGAAGTGTAAAAGATCTACTTCATTTCCTTAGTAGCATTTCCATAGATAGTTCTTTTATCATAAGAATAATGATATATTTCTTACTATGTCTTCTTACTGATTTTCCATTTATTTAATGTGTTCATAACAAAATACATTCAGTTTTTAATAAGAGGATTTATAAGAAAGATTTTATAGGAAGATTTGAAATATTTTACCTTACCAAATATTTCCACATCTGAGAGAGCCTTACGGGCACTAAAATTGTACAAGATTAACAGTAAATTTTCTTCGTCCCTGTGTGTTAAGAAACTTAGTTACAAACTACTGGTGCATCAGATAATTATTATATATATATGTGGACCAAACCACAATGTGTGTGTGATGCATGTGGACCAAACCACAATGTAAATGGGAAGAGTCGCATGCGTGTCATCATCGATTGATTTGGTTACTGAAGGTCCACAAATCATGGCTAGCATCATGGTATTTTTCTGCATCATTATCTAAAGAACAAGGATGAACCTTTGTGTAGTTATTATTGCTTTTAAAAAAATAGTCTCTTCACTCATGGAATAAGGTTATACATATTCTGCTATACATTTCTATTCATACATCTGTGATAGAAAGAACAACCAGTTTAGAAGTTTAAGCAAGCATAAGATGAGCCACTTTTCGAAGTAGTTATTAAGATAAGTATGATTGGTTATTTAAAAAAAATATATTATTAGTCAATTCAAAATAATTATGGATAGATTTAATAAATATTTCCATTAATCATAGTTGGCTACTTCAAAGTTCAATAAATACTCTTCCTTTGAAGTGCTGGGGTTGTTGGTTTTAGTTGACTTTTGTATTCCACAAACAGTGATTTTGGTGGAATCCGAAGGGAAAAGAAAACCGTGTCAGGAGGGTTTTTGTTGTAAATTGAAACTCCAATTTTATATTGTAACAGTAAAAACTGGATGTTTAAACAATGATTTCAATAAGTGCATCATATTTTAACCATAACAAGGAGACATGTCCTCTGGTTTATTTAATCCTCTATTCACAGATCCCAAAATTAAAAAAAATTGGTGCATGCAGGATGGTGTCTATGAGTTAGTGATCCAAAAAGACTTAGAATTTCTAGGAAAAAGCACCACCTTCCAAGAATATTCTACTTTTTTTTTCTCAACACCTTTATCCAATTTGTGATTACTTAAGTAATTTGCAGAATATCATTTTTTCCTTAAAGAAAAATATGTTCCATCATATTGCTTGTCTGCTCCTCATGGACATGAGTACTTTTCATTTTGGAACCTAATAACTTCATTTTATAATAAACACATGCAGCATTTTTTTTTATCTTAATCTATTGAGATGATTATCAAGAGTTTGATTAAAAACATAATAATAAATAACTAATGTCTCTAATATTATAATTTAATGATAAAATAATCTTAAATTTCCTGCCAAATTGATTTTTTGAAATTATATTTTAATAATAAAGTGATTCAACAAAACTTAATAATAAGATGTAATCACATTACTTTCATATATGTAAAACTTTAAATAAATATTTCATTTTCTAAAACTAAATTAACTGTATTCTACATCTTTATTGACTAAATTGATCATTTACCTTTTAAATTGTTTAAATGTTAATATCTATTTGTATATATTTAGAATTTATTATTCAAGTAAAGTATATATATATATATATATATATATATATATATATATATATATATATATATATATATATGGTGTAACTAGACGAAAAAACAAAAATGTCAATAATTGAGCAAAATAACATATATAGTATAAACTCTAAATCTTAAAATAAACTAAAATGTGTATTAGAAAGTCTTAAATTTTGAAGTTAAGGCAAGAAGTAATAAATTCCTAAATGCATGATTATTTTATTTAAGTAGAAGAAATTAAATAACTCTTAGAATCAGTGTTACTTCTTATTTATTTGCTTTCATATGATTCAATTAAACAATTCGTATTTTAATATTTAAATTAAGATCAAAACAACTTAATTTCTTCTGTTTATATATTTATATTTATATATGTAGCATAATTTTATAGTAACATGGTATGCTAATTAGTTACAACAAATTCATTTGTTCCTATTAAAATATTAATCACAAAATTTTGGTTAGATTAGGTATTGATTCAGTTAAAACTCGTCGTCGTGACCTCGGACCACTGGTACTAGGTTGGTTGTACACATCACACTTCTCATGCCACTTTCTTTCTTTTCGAAATTTCTCGGGAAAATTTTTCCATCTGGGCAAAACTAATGGCTAGGTCTGCAAAAGGGCATCAAGATGAATTGGAGGACGATGAAGAAGAAGAATTCCTAACTGCAAACACCTCTTCCTCTCTCAACAAAGGTTTCTCTCTCTTTCTCACTCTGTGGTTTGGTTATACAACACACCCAACAGGGTTTATCGATTGATTCAGTGATGGGCGTCTCAAAGTTCTTACTTTTTACCTCTTCGATAGCATTCTGAAATTCGATTTTCAATTTTAAACATAATTACTTATTACGGTTTGTGACTTGGCAGTGAAGGTGGACGAGCCCAGCACGGGGAAGAGGGTGAATACGCATCGTTCGAAGCATTCGGAGACTGAGCAACGTAGAAGGAGCAAGATTAACGAAAGGCAAGCTTTGAGGGAAAAAAACAATGAGTTAATTGTTCGTGTGTGTAGATTTTGAGTGGAAGTTTGATGTGACTCCATATTTGTATTTATTGTTTGCCAACGTTTGGTTGCTTGAAAAAAAATATGTTTATGTGCCAGGTTTCAAGTTCTAAGAGATCTCATACCTCAAAATGATCAAAAGAGAGATAAGGCATCCTTCTTGTTGGAGGTGCTTCATTCAACTTTTAACCGTTTATTTCCCGTGTACATCTTAATGGATAATTTATTCTTGTAAACTAAATTAGCTTTTTTTTTCTTCAGGTTATCGAGTATATTCAGTTCCTACAGGAAAAATTACAAATTTATGAGCAGTCTTATGAAGGATGGAGTCAGGAGCCAACGAAACTAATTCCATGGGTAAAGTTATGGAATGGTGTTATGTAGATATTTTTCTGCGTCTGTGTTCACTGTTGGACTTGATTTATGATATGTTGTGAAACGCATGGCAATAGCTTTCCAGACTGATATGGGGCCACCTCATATCTAAAATTGGATCTTGGAATGGTAGTCTAAGTGGACTTTGGACCTACCCAAGTGCACGACATTATGAGACTTGCGATTCTCTGATTGTATGAGGATTCATTTTATATAGACTGCAAAAGAAACAACAATGACTACAAAGCCTTATTCCCACTAAGTAGGGTCACCAATAATCTTAGTCATATGTCATGTACTCATGATGCCAACTGCATAAAATTTCACATACAAGATTTTAAGTTCCTTTCATTCTTAGGATTTCACCGCTTTATGCTGTTTGTTTGAATTCATATGTCTGGTTGTATAGGTTTTTTTTTTTTTTAATTTACAATATCCTTTTTCTTCCAGAGACAGTAGTTCAGTATGCATATTTGAATTTGATCAGGGATAGCATTGTGGCACCTTCAGTGAACTATTACTCACAATGTTTGGTTGTGACTTTCTGCCTTGACATAGTGACAATGGCTTTTGATCTAAATTTTATTGTTTTCATCTGTTCTTTTCAGAGAAATCATCATGGGCATGCAGAAAATACTACAGATCCTTCTCAAGCTATACAAAATGGGTCTATTGATGAGAAAAATAACAATTCCTCTCCATTTTATCCCAAAAATGTACCGAACCCCATGGAATCTGACTTCTCCGTGATGACTGCCCAGAAGGGCCACACCCCTGGTTCATCTACAGAAGCAGTTCCCCTGACCATGCAAATGCGGTTGGACATGTTTGATCCAGTTGCAACCCAGCATCTTCAGGAATCTGTATCTAACGTTGACATGCCTTCCCATATCCAGCCACAAGTGTGGCTTGATAAAGCAAACAAGGGCAACTATATTCTTCCTCATGATAATACAATGAAGGAACAGGAGGAGCTGGTGATTGAATCTGGATCAGATAGCATTTCTAGTGCCTATTCTCAGGGGTGAGTTAAGTTCAACAGAAGCTTTTCTTCGCCAATCTTGTGTTAATTATTTGCTTGAAACTACATTTAGAGAGGGTGAGCAGTGTGTGTTAGGAGTCCTACATTGTGGAAGTTACTTGATGTGGTACTTAACCCTAGAGGTAATGGACTGGTCTTTTGGATTAGTTCTCCTCTTGTGTTTAAGTCCTAATAATTGTTGATTTAATTGAGAGTTGGTCTACCATCAAGTCAGTGTGGATAGAGTGTTGCCATCTTAAATTCTCTCTCCTTCCAATTTTTTTATTTCAATGAGGACCTGTAGTATAACTTGTTTATTTACTAATATTAGAATAAAAGACCTGTTTAGGATGGATCCATAAAATATTTGGGGAGAAAAGAGTGAATAAACCTTAACACTATAATTACAGAAGTAGGTTTTTTATATAAATTGTTAGAATTTGGGCTTAAGACCCAACTCAACTCAACAAAATTGAATTGCAAGATGAGGATTGTCCAAACTTTTATAAGATCTACTCTAAAATAGACTGGGACCCATATCCACCCCTCAACCTATCATGATGAAGGTGCGTAAGGCTGCATATTAAGATTTTTTTTTTTTTTTACAGAACACAGGTATGCAAAGACATCATTATATAACTTTGAATCCCAACTAGGTTGGCATCCCAAGCTATATCAATCGTCTACATCTTACCCAAAATAACATAAAAAACTAAAGAAAAGATACAAAATAGTGGAGGACTATACTAATACCCACTCAAGGAACAAATATATAGAAAGGTAGATTAAACCTTTATCCCTGAAGAATTCATAACTAAAAATTCGGAATAGTTTCACACCACCTGCTACATTATGTTCTAACCCCAAAGTTTGCAAGTTTCTCCACACAACAATTACCATATATATATATATGTGTGTGTGTGTGTGTGTGTGATACATGAAAATTTATACTCCTAAGTTTGTACAAAATATTGTTCCACCTATTTCTAAGTAACTAGGGGACAATATTTTGGTTCTCAACTGTGGCTGCAAATTAAGATGGCAAGGGTCTCTACAATTAAGTCGGCTTTAAGCAAAAATAGAGTGTATATATATTTTTGAAAAATAAAATAGGAGTACAGGGCTGGGTCAAGTTAGTCTTCATTTTTACCCCAATTAACATAGGTGTAAAACTTTTTTACTTGGGTGAGAAGTACCCAGTGGGAGAGTGCAGGATAGAGAGGGAATGTGATACTTGATTTAAAAGGGACTAACTTTTATGATAGTGAGAAGAATGGGATCAATCTATATGTAACCATTTAGGGCTCAAAGTATCATATGAATAAGATATTTTGCCAGTCACATCTGCAATTTATCCCTTCACGTGTGCTGCTCTCAATGGCATGGAATTATTCTCTCTGAATCAATCAGGACTTTCTTTCTTTGTTTCTTTGTTCTTTATTAGAGTACAGTTCTGTATAACAATAGTATATGTACAATAGTACAGTTATCTCTTATCTTTCTAACTAACTAATTAGAACTGTTACAGGTTGGAGGTGTGGTACAAGTAGTTAGATGTTTGTTACAGGCTGTTAGAGCTCTCTTGTACTCTGTTAAGTTTGTTTCAGATCAGCTAGCTATAGACTTTATTGTACTCTTCTTCGACAAATTACATATTCATTTTCACATAAAAACTGATATCTCCTTCTCTTCTCTCTCAACCGTAATATTCTTTGTTGTTTGAGATTATTTATATCAATTGAAATCTTGTCAAAATCCCGTATTGAAGTGAATAAATTCATCTTGTCAAAAATATATTATTGGAAACTCATTGATACTTACAATTGAGCGTGGGAATCTATCCTCTAAAAAAGAGGAAAAAATTTGGCACTAGAAATTTTTTAGGTTCCACCAACTTGTTGCAGTTGACACTGCTTTCTTTCTCACCTGCTTAATACGATACAAGTTAAGTGGTGCAACTGCACCTTTTAGGGTCATTAATTCTTTTGCACTTGAGTCATTTACCTCAAGCATCATTGAAATAATATATCATTTATGCCACTGCTGATCAAGTTTTTATGTTTTAACAGAATTTTAGATACTCTAACACAAACGCTGCAGTGTTCGGGCGTAGATATGTCCCAGACAAATCTCTCGGTGCAAATTGATGTTGGCAGACGAGCAAATACTGGCTTGATCCCCTCTGCATACAGTTCAAAGGTTCGTGTATTCTCCATGTTTTTAGCACCAAGTTTGTTTTGCCTTCAACTGAATTATTTTTTGATCAAATTCTAAAATTAATATCATATATTATTTGTTCATTCAGGGTCATGAAAACCAATTTGTGAGCAACCCAGCCATATCACGATCCGGAGTTGATTACTGCAATATTGAATCTGAACAAAGTTCAAAGAGGCTCAGACAAGAAGCAAACTAGAGATCCCTCTCGTGCTTATTTTGTCATGAGTTTCATTCTTTTCTTTTCTTTTTTGTCTTTGGATGAGAGTAAAAGAGGGATTGGGTGGACCGGTTCATTTTTGGCATGCTGGTTAGAGCCAGATAAAATGTATATTTCATGATACTGGTTTTTGTGACTAAGACATTCTGAAATAAAATTTTACATATGCTTGTGCTTCCGCTAAATTTTCCAATTTATTCTTTCAAGTCGACCTGATAGTTTAATGTCATACATTCATGGTTTTGACATTTCTTTAATGCATAATTTTTGGTAGTAATGCTGGTAATTCTTGGAGTCCATGTTCACTAGATGGCCAGTCTGGATGAGAATTTATATGTGAGATAAGACATCAAAATTTTGTTAAGAATTGAAATTACACAATATAATATTGTATATAATGATATTACTTCACGTAGATTACTTGTATCCAGAACTTGTTTAAGTAGGGTTACCTAAAGAAAGAATGTTCTGGTTATAAGCCATAAAGTTGATAATCATTATCAATACTTTTGTTTGCCAATTGTCTGTAATGTCAATTTCAGTTTTGAAGCCAATTTAGAGCATTCTCAATGATTGTTTAGATGAGTTTACATTTTACTTTTGTGATCTTTATAATGTCAGATAAATTTAAGCACGTTGTACCCAAATTCACTCAGATGTTAAACTTGTTAAAATTAGTGTTTGACCTAATTTTGTAAATCTTATAATAAAAAAATATTAATACTTAAAATATTATCTCAATGATTTTTCTTATTTAAAGCACAATCCTGTTTTATGGTACTTTGCTTATGTAAATGCTACGTCGTTTACTCTGATAATAAAATTTGTTCAGTAACATTGATTAAGTTAATAAACCATTTCAAGCAAATCCATTGGGGATGATTAGTAACGTAAGTTCAATACGTCAAACCCTGTTGCAATCAAGAGAAAACAGTACGTGTATAGATAGGGTATATATCCTTGTTAGGAAAGCACTCATGGACCACAAAAGTATCAGCATCAGACCAACAGCTCACTGTGGAAAGGGGATATAAATGCTTTGAAATTGTGGTTTACAGTACTTTGTTCTTTAGTCTTGGGTCTTTGTGTTTAAGGATAGATTATTGGGAAGGATGGATGCAGCTTGTACATATGTTTAAGGATAGAATATTTTGGTACTAAGATTCTTCATTCTGTCTGTGAAAGAATAGCAAGTTTCCTCCTCGAGTTGTGTTTTCAAAAGTGGTTGCTTTTTTATGTAAAATACTGCTATTACCCAACTCACTTTTATAAACTAAAATACAATTTTGCACAGGCTCACGGAGAGGTTTTTGCAATATATGCCAAAACCAGCAGCTTTCATAAAATTGGACTTTTTTAGACATCCAGAAAGAACATTTGGGAATAGATTTTAATCTTTTTGAAAATGTCATTCCTTAATAGTAAAAAAAATATAGGGTGCTTCGGAAAATTGAATATTAATTCTGGATTATATATTCTGAAATTAGTTTTTCTGAAATACTTTTCTGAAAGTAGTTTTCATTACATTTGGATAGCATGATAGTGCAAGGATGAATTGCAAAAAAGCAAGTGCCCATTTCTTCCTGCATTCCAGAAAAATGAAGACACTTGAAAAAAGTAATCATAAATGTAAAAGTAGGAGGGTTTGTTGCATATGCATTGAGTTTGTCACAGAGCAATGCCAATTTGGAGCTTCCCACAACTAGATGGAGCTGGCCTATAATCTCACATTCTACCATTTTCAGTGAGGTGCTGGTTCATATGGAAGCCACAAGGTTTCTTGGACCACACTTGAACAAAAACATTCTGTCTGATGCCAATAACTCCAGTTTGATGCTTACGATAATAGGCAGTTTCCACGTACATGTAAGAAAAATAATAGTAGCCTTCATTTGATTCTAATAAGTTATTCACTTTATTATCTGATTTTACAACACTTCTATATCAGTTCCTGACTTCATAAAATATTGTTTGATCTTACATTTTAGTATTTACTTCCAATGCAAAAAATATAGCAAGATCCGTTTAAGTGAATGAGAAACACCTTTTGTAAAACAATATGAAATTATAAGTTTTAATATTTTTATAAAAGATCAGGGACTAAAATAAATAATGGCTACAATCTTAGGGACCAGGATAGAGATTTATTGGAAAAATAAAAAATGGGAAAAATTTCATAACACCAATGCGATGTCTTAGTTCCAGTCATTCAATAAATAAAATGGGTGATGGATGATTTAATTCTCTCATCACGTACAAAAATGAGTTCAAAAAGTAGTCTGAGTATGCAAAGAATTCAAACTGCAGTTAAACCTAATATTAACTACAAAGATCATGCAATGTTACAACAAAACTGACATGTTGTCAACAAATTAGCCTATATAATTGAGAAATTGAGCCAAAAAGAAAAAACACTGATGTCATGAGATGATTCTCACCTAGCGAACATGTTTTCTGAATCAGAGTTTCGGAACCACATTTAAGCGGCTTTAGTGCTTCTCTCACCCAAAACTGAATCCAGTAAGCAACAGTAGGAAGCAGCTATTGATTATGTACATGAATCTGAAGAATGAAAATCCATGATTTGTCAGATATGAACCAGAAACCATGAACTTGATGTCATCTATCCCCGCCCTCATCTTCTTGATCCTCGAATTGGTTTTCTTCCTTAGTGTTTACTTCTGCATCGCCTTCATGATTTTCAGCACTTGGTTTAAAGAATAACTCGGATACAGAATCGTCCTCATCCACAACCTCTTCATTTTCCTTATCTTTTGATTGAGAAATTGGACTGCTGTCCATCCATGCAGGACACCGTTGAACAACGCCAAGAGCTGTCCATAATTGGGAAGTTGAAGGAATAGAAGAATTCTTTGATACTTCAAAGGATTCAAGCCGTGAACAAGAGCATTCAGGGACTGGATGAGAGAGAAAGGATAGTGGCTTTGATTTATTTGATGCTTCTATGATTCCATCAAGTAATGTTTTTGTTAAATGCCTGCGAACTGATTCTAACCATGTACGATTAGCATGATGCATGTGCTGCCGAATCTCATCTAAAAGTTTAGCAGCTTCCTTTCTGTATCAAAGCAAGTATGATTATAATTTTACAAAGTATTAAAGTTGTAAGTCTTCAATTTTACATGCAATTACCGAAGCTTCTGTTTCATTATTACACATGAATTTAGCAAAGTTTACTAATCATGTTGCTCTAATGCATTGCTTTCAGTTGCCTTGGACTTTTAAGGCACAATTGACAAGACACATTATATTCAAGCTTTGGAAACACCTATAACCTTATGTGTTATCTTTCAGTTACTAAGTTTCTAAAAGCAAAAACTTTGGCGTTTCAGAGTTAATTCCAGAGCTAAAATTGCATTTACAAACATAGATATATTCAGACTAAAAAAATAGAGGTATGTACCTGTCAGGCCTAAATGTTTTTGATGCTGCTGACTGATATAGCCTGTGCCCCATCACCAAGCTAGCAAAATTTGGATGCCCCTTCCCGTCAAGGTCAAATCCAGGGATGAATACATCAGCTTCAACACAAATCACATAATCAATGGCCTCCCATAGTAATTTATGGGCATTGGTCCTCAGTTCCATAACTGTACTATCAGGCTCATTGTCACTCTCAGCTACCCAACCCCACCAACCTTCTATGTTGTATGATTTAGGCCTTGCTGGAGGTGGAGGAAGTGGGCGAGGGCGAGGACCTGCATTTTTCCAAGCTGCACGCTTTGTTACTTCTTCAGTGAAAGGTGGTGGTCCAGGAATATTAACAAGGTTCACCTCTTGCCCATAGAGCCTAATCATCTCCCAAGGAGTGCTTAGAGAAGTTCTATCAATAACATTTTCAAACATAGCATGAAGAGGGATCAATGTTCTTTGACCACCAAAGACTTCTCCCCCAGATACATATATGATTGCATCCCTTGAGTATCCATACGCACGCAGAAGAGTACCAATCTGCAAGAGATTGGAACAGTAGATCATATAATCAGCCTCGGTAGTACTCTCTCTCTCAGAAAATATGCCATTAGTACAAATTTGCAACAAATGTAAATGACCAAGCTTTGGAGAGAGTATCCAACCAATTCATTAGTAATCAACAATTTGACTATAAAAAGTGAAAAAATTGTTACCTCCTCGGGCATTAAAGGACAGGAGCCTTTTAGCCTTTCTTGGGCTGAGTTGATTGAAAGCTTCCCCTTGACAAACCCACGTTTAATCATCCAAGATCGTTTGTGTTGAATAAGTTCAGTATGCACATCCTAACAAAGAATTTGAGGCCATCATAGCTCAAATATTAAGAGCTAAGGAAGTTTAAGAGACAGTTATCCAGGTTGATCATATACCTGGAACAGTTCTGCACAACCATGATATGCTAAAGATTCTCTAGTCATGCCAGGGTCAAAAGCAATGAATGGACGGCCAGGAGCACGTAACCTACCATCATATCATGATCCATACATAAGCCAAAAGAAGGACGGAAAGAGTATGAATGAGAAGAACAAACTTAAATTAGAGAAGACAAAGAACTTACCTCTGCAAAATCTTAGCAGAAAGTTCTTGGACTTCCTGTCGAAACTTAAGGGCATGAAAAGAAACTCTACATCTCAACCTTTGATATTCTTCAAAATCGGGAGGAAGAATGGCCTAAGATAGGAGGGGAGAACAGAGAAACAAACATTTATAGGTACTTTTAATAAAGGCACAACAAGAACCATTTAAACTAACAGCATGCATGGTGCAGTGCAATGGAAGAGGGAAGACACCTACATAGTCGCTCCAAATTAAGCTCATCACAGGCAACCCCCAATTCAGAAATTACTAATATCAATCTTAAGAAAGTAATAAAAGACACTTCCTCAAATAATGACCAGCATCTAAATTGTTCTTCAACACATCACAGGATGCCCAACACATCATTAGATTGACAGCGTTTATTAGATTTCACTATGTCAATTCCATTC